AAGACCTTCAAGCATTTTAATAAAAAGGATGCATGTGAGTCTTTTATCCAGAATGAAACAGCAGAATTTGATCATGGTGATTGGGTAGAAAAGTTTAATATACAAAACTGGTTCTTTAAGGAAATGCCTATCTTCATTATTGATGTTAATCCAACTAAACCACTAACTTATCAACATCCAATATATGAAGAATATATTATTAATAATTTTCTGGGATTTCTTCATTCTAACCCACCTCCATTCCATCAATTTAGCAAAGAAATTCATAATCAGGTAAATTTAATTCTTAACCATATGAGAGAAGTACTTTGTTCATCAGATAAAAAGCAAGAACTCTATATGATGGGATTAAATCTATGAATAGCAATTGGCCAGAAAATGCAAAAATCAATGTTCCTTTATTCTGGCCCAGGAACAGGTAAAACAATGATTACATGGTTCCTTCGGGAAATGGTCCTTGGCCCCAAAATTACTGTAAAAACCGCTAATGAGAGAATTATTACTGGGCAGTTTAACAAAGAATTGGAGGGTAAAGTTTTACTCATTCTTGAGGAAATGTCTAACTCAAAATCCACTGATTGGATTACTTTTGCAAATCGGCTCAAAGACTTTATTGATAGTGATTCTTTGAGGATAGAGGAAAAGCATAAGACTCCATATTCAGTTACTAATATTACAAATTTAATTATTAACAGTAATAATAGTAAAACAATTCGCCTAGATAAAAATGACCGAAGATATTTCATTCCAGATATCTCTGAAAAGTATGTTGAAAATGGAATTGGAATGGATCATTATTATGTCCCACTGGATAAAGCTATAAAAAATCCAGAAGTTGGAAAAGCATTTTATTCTTATGCTCTAGAATATGTTAGACTTAATCTGGACTTTGATGAGTGCAAAATTCCAATGAGTAAAACTAAGCTAATGATGACAAGCAGGGATATTAACCCAATCCATGAGTTTATAAAGCAGGAATATTTATGTAAGTCTTTAGATCTTGATTTAGCTTCTACATACCTTTATAATACATATAAAAACTGGTTTTGGGAAATGTTTGGCATCAAAAAAAGACTGCCTATTGTACAGGAATTTACTTGTGCAATTGGAGAGTTGGGGATAAAACCTAAGGCAAAAAGAATAGGAGATCGATCTAAAAATAAAAGACTTCAATGGTATTCAGCTTCATATAATGATCTTTATACCATATTCCAGAAAAAGAATATGATTGATGAAGTTGAAAATATTAATGAACCAGAGGGATACCAACATACAGAGAGTATAGAATTATTGTTGAAATCCCCTGAAAAATTCCCATCAGAAGAAGCGCCTTTAGACTTGCCCCTTCAAAGCCCTTCTACTAATTCTACTAATTCAATTCCCGAACTAGAAAATGATGATGATGCTGATGAAGTCTATGAATCATCTGGTTCGGAATTTGATGAAGAAGAAGTATATGAATCATCTGGTTCGGAATTTGATGAACCAATTCTTAAAAATAAAAGACCAGAAGCGTCTTTAGAATCGCCAGCTGAATGTAGTAAATCTTCTGCACCATTGTTTAAAAAGGAGCCACCAAAAGTTCCACCAAAACCTGAACATCTAAAAATTACAAAAAAAAATGAATCCCAAAAACTAGAAAAACTGATTGAAGAATTTTCTATTGATGAATGCTTGGACCTTTTATGTGCTGAATATGATGAAAATTGCCAGGATAATAGGAATACAGAACCAGAAACCATTAATGAAAAAGAATGTGCATTAGCTGAGGAGGAAGAAGAATTCTTGGAAAATGAATATATTGATTATAAGGAACTAGATAAATTCCATAATAATTAAGCCAATGTACTATGCCGGTATTTGCTTTGTATACATTTTGTGGATATATATATATTTTTTTATATATTCTATAGATTTTCATATTGAATAATTATATACAATAAATAAAATGTCAATCAATACAATTAATATAAACTATTGAAGATTGCCAACTCGGCAACATATCACTGAAATCAATTATACCGGTAGAAGTTTTTCCAGAAAAAGAATCAATCATGAAATAGAAAAACTTAGGACTAGAATTCCAAATAAAAAATTTCAAGTTCTTCTTCCTTATGAGCAATGGAAACCTGGTTCATGGTTTGAGGATGGAGAAGATATATCATTATTTTCATTGCTAGATCATTATGATGAGTCCCAATTGCCAGAAGGTGGAGGAGATCCTGGATCTTATAATCGATTTATTATTTACATGATGGATCCTCTAGAGCTCCGAAACGGGTCGGGTTGACCCGAACGAGTCGGGTCGGGTCATGATTTAATTGACCCGGGTTTGACCCGGGTCAACATCATGTTATAA